AAGACCACGGGCTTGAACTCCTTCCTGTACAGGTTGTGACCCTCCTCAGACAACTTTGAATAGGCATACTCCGTCAGCTTCTCCTCCAAGGCAAGGTTATGCTTCTCGGTCAATCCAAAAACCAGCGCCGGCACCCTCAGGTCGATGCAGGCTCTGCACATGTCTCCCTGGCCTGGCGTCATGTCGACCACCACGCAGCGCTGTAGCTGCCAATGATGTCCGCGCCGAACTTGGGCGGCAGTTTCTGAGACGAGAACAAACTCTCCGTGTGTGTGGCCTTGTCCACTGTAGTGGTCAAGCCTTGGCTCAAATCAAAAAATGTGCTCCAAACAGCTGAAATGGCTCCGGTGGGGCACTATTATTTCAAGACCATTGTCAAAGAAGTTGCACCAATGACCCACTCGGTATGGTTTTTGGGAACTGCCTCATAATTATGCCTGGACACTGGCCTTTTCTCGATCCGTCAGAGTCACGCAGCCACGGTCGCCCAGAATGTCCTCCTTGGCCTGCCTCAATCAAATTTGGTACTGCAATGGTTTTCCGACAATTCAAAGATCTCGCCTTTATTTGGGCTTAAGATTTTGTAGTTAGTTCAAAAGAGAACGGAAATCAAACAAGAATCAGCCCCGCAGCACGTCGACGACGACCCCACCTAGTCACGGTCCAGAGACTGTCCGAGGGCAAGCAGTCCACCCAGCCGATCACGTCGCCCGTATTGTGCCCGGTGTAATGAGGTAAGCGCTTTTCCGGCACGGTGTCGGGCACACACGCCCCCTGTGTGTAAGACAACACAGTGCTTTGCTGCGAGTAAGCCTCGCTGCCACTGCCACGCACCCGCTTTTTCCTCTGCCGGATGGATTCCTCGTTGTAGACCACTGACAAGACTTTCTCCGTGGCCTCTGTCCCAGTGGTCGCCTTGCTCTTCGCTAAGCGGAACATCTTGCGGACTTCCGTCACCGCCTCTGGCCGGCCGCCCGAATGGATGAAGACTATGGCTGTATCACTTGGACTGTGGCTTCATGTTCTTCGCTCTTTGGCTGAGCCCCTCTGGCCAAAAGGCAGCCATGGAGAAGAGGCTTCCAGACAGCAACATCGAATTGCTTCTGCCGGCGGAGGCCTGGCTGGCTACCGGGCCCGACCCCTTCTCCAAGTAGATCCAGGTCCATCCAAATCAAGCACGACCTTGACTGACACTGACTGGTTTAACATAACAAAAGAAATATATATATATATATATATAAATACGCCGTTCTATCGTCGATCGTTTCGCCCAAAGCCGAGGTGGTGGGAACAAAACACGACAATCAAGAAGAGGCGCTTGGAGCCAGCTTCCACCACCACATCCTTCAACGCGCTCTGCCCGACGGCGAGCTCCATGCTGCGCTGCGTCGTGGGCAAGACCACAAACGACAACAGCCGGCGGACGCTTGCGTTTGCCACTGCCAGCCAGTATTGGTGACTGTTTTCAGTGTAGCTTGTTGGCGCCTTGCGCATCTTCGCAATGCTTGTCTCCTCTCCTTCCGGTTCCTGGGCTTCTGAGGCTTTCTCTTTCACCTCCTGCTCTGTCAGCTCATTCTCGCGAAGTGCGACGACCTTGTCCCAGGCCTCCTTGATGACTTCATTCTCCATCACCTCGTCCATGATCTTGTGTCCTCGAGCCAGCTGCTTGAGCTGGTGGTCGAACTTCTTGTTAAAAACCAATTCCTGAAAGGCTCACGACGACAAACGGTGTTGGGGAGCACATCTCATTCGTCGTTCAATTTTAGAGTTACTTTTAAATTTACCACAGCTAAATTTTAAAGCACAAAATTGCGTTCAATGTAACAATGTAACTACAAAGTGCCTCCAAAAACTTCAAGGCTTCCACGCTCGAGACAGCCATCGGCCCTTGCCATGCCACATCCTCCCCCAGCATTTTGTCATTGTAGCTTTGATGGGAGGCCAGCGCCTCTGCGATGAGCTTCCGGTCTCTCTCATCAATTTTGGCACGCGCAAGCGCCACACACTGCCAGTGAGTCAAGCACTCTGCCTTCAATTCCAACAACGAGATGAGGCCTGCGCTGTTCTTGTCACCGAGCAAAGCCGTCTTCGTCACCTCGTCGTTGTCAAGGAGACCTCGGACAATGAGGTCTCGCAGGCCTTGGAAAACAAAGTCTCGACGGCTGGGCTTGACCCTCGTCGCCAGCGCATGCAACTTCACCATACTGTTGAAGAAGGAGGCCTTCCCGAAGCGCTGCTCCAAATCGCGGATTGGACCTAAGACTTCTTCACCCGAAAGTTTCTCTGCGATATGGATTGCATTGTTGACAAGATTTGTGGACAGGTCGTCTTGCGAACTGGCCTTTTTGAGTCCGGCATTCTTCAGCTTCAGAGTAAACTCTGCCGCTGTGAGGACTTTCTTCGCATCAGTGTCATAGCGGCCCTTGAGCTTCTTGATCTCGACCGCGGTTTGCCAAGCCGACCTGCCAAGGCTTTCGTAGTCCTGCGAGATGGCGTTCCTGTTGTTCCAAGCGTGGATCCAAAGGTCCGATGGTTCCTTTGTAAGACAAATTGGAACCGACCGTAGGACCACGGCCCAGCGCTCTTTATGTTTTGGAAGCTGGCGAGCAGCTGCGTGCAATATGGCGTGAAGGTAGCCCTCAGGGCTGAGAAGTTGCAGGCCCTGTGGAGTTTCTGGCGCACTGCTGACGTCAGGCGCAACGAACTCCAACAAAATCTTGACAAACTCAGGCTCCTTGTCAACAGGCCAGCGGAAGTCGGCCATCTCCACCACAGAGCGCCTGCTCAGCGGTATTCCCGGCGTCGCGCTGCTTGAATAATTTGCCCACAGCAAATTACCAGCCGCGACATATGAGCCTTGATTGCCAAGCGCGCGCTCGCACATGGCCTTTGAGTACGGCTCCTGCAGCAGCCATTTCTGATAACTTTGTATAGCATTGAAAATTCTCCCTTAATAATACGAAAACACCACCCCGTCCTGTACGCCGCCCTCGCCGCAGCGGTCTTTGTCAGCAATCTCTAAGGCTGGCTGCTCACCAAACTTACTACCCAAGTGCTTCAGGATGCGCCGCACATCTTCACTCACCTCGGCGTAATAGTCGCGGTTGTCTTCATCAGGCGGGGTCGGCTGGGGCGCCGCTTTTGACTTCTTGGGCAATGCTTTGGCCGCATCATTGGTCGACTTTGTCGAGCCAGCGTTTCCATTGGTTGTCGACGAGTCAGCCTTTCCATCCTTCGTCTCTGGGCTGGGTGACTCGCCCGCCTCGCCGGCAGCCTTTTTCTCCGCTGCTGCCTTTGCCCTTTCCATTTTCTTTTCCTTCTCCAACAACTTGCGGTGCTCGGTGACCATATCCTATTCATTATAGCAGTTTTCAAGCGACCAACGACGAGGACGATCGTCCCGACTGTCCTGAAATCAAATAATCAATCAAATGGAATTAATAATGACTTCCTCAGACATCTTGAGACTGACAGCGGCTACGAAAGGAAAGGTAACTCGCCTTGATTTCGTCCTCGGGCACCCCATTACCGGGCAACGTTGCCGCGTATTCATTGAGCTTCGTCTCCAGCTCCGCCTGCCGCAGTTGAAAATGAAACCTTTGGCCTTTTATTGCAAGCTCCGAGTTTAAAGACACACCTCCTACCAAGATCTTCGGCCTGCCTTGTCAGCGGCGGTCAAGCGCCAAGCGGACCAGTTACGCGGCACGCCGTCAGGTAAGTCTTTTTTTGGGGCCATGCTGTCTAATCCAGGGGACACACGACTTGACTTGTCAATGGCTACGGGGTAACGTTCTTAGACTGAAGTCGGGATAGATAAGGCAAGGCGTCCAAATTGTCTCCTGGCAATGCAACGTCGACTTCTTTACCCTTGCTGCGCGCTTGCTGATGGGATGAGAGCTATCGTTAAATTTTAAAGCTCGCCAGGTAAGACCATGACAGCCTGGCCAGGCGAAATGAAACAGCCACTACTACCGCTCATCTGCTCTGCGTAGCCCAAGCTCTGTCAGCCGCAGAAGCCAACTCCTCTGGACTGCCACCGCGCCACGGATCCATGCGAGAGCCACTACCCATATCGATGAACCCAACGCATTCCAATGCAGCCAAGATTACCTTCGCCAAGACATTAATAGACATGCCGTCACCCAAAGCCCCACCCACGATCTTTCCGGAAGTTCCCCTCGCCAACAACTTTGTCAATTTCCGCGGCCAGCCCTGAAGCTTCGCGGCCTCGCCTACATTCAAGCGCCGTCGGAGCTTGGGAATGTAGAAGCCCGACGCATCCTGGTACAACCGGCTTCTGGTTAAGCATGGCGCAACGCCAACATGGGCGCTCTGGAACTTTTTGCTGGCCCCAATGTCGAGCACATAGGGCTTTTCCCAAATTGCATTTCTGCCATACTTGTTCTCGTAGTGACTGAGGTCGGCTAACTCGTCGCCCAGTTTGGTCGTTTCAATGAAGTGCCGCAAGGACTTCTTCGACAACTTCAAGGCAACTGGCCAACGAAACTTCATACGGATACTCTTCTTCTTTATGGCCACAACGAAGACTCGTGGCCTGGATTGTGGAACGCCGTAGTCCTTTGTGTTGAGGACCTTGCAATACAACAAGTACCCGAGCTTCTGCAGCACGGACTTCAAGGTCTCCGTCAATTCACGGTGTTGGGGAAACAAAAGCCCTTTCACGTTTTCAAAAATGCAAATCATAGGTTGGTGATGGCAAATGTATCTGAGACCGTCAAACAAGAGCATACCCTTTTTTACCTTATCGCCTTGACCTTTACCCAAAGAACTGAAGCTGGGGCAAGGAAAGCCTGAGACATACAAATCGGACGCCTCAGCTTGCGCATGGTCCCTGAGGCTTACATCCCTTGTCAGGGGCGCCTGGGCGTTGAACCCTAGGCGCTCGCAAACCAACTTGTGCAGCAGCTGCTTCTCCTCATCAATCTCGCTCCAGCCCACCAGGGTTGCTCGTTCTGCCAGGCCGCACAATGTCAGGGCAACCAATTCTGAGGCCAAACCTGCGCAGTCACTATAAACACGTAGCTTGCCAGGTAAGACCATGGCAGAACGGCCTGCCCGCTCCACCACTTCGCGTGATTCGGCAAGCTGTCTCAAACTGCGCAGCAACTCTTCCCTTCGCTTTAACAAGTTGTTCGCTGGCGGATCATTGGCTGATGCCGCCACTTCTTTCTTTTTCTTTGCCGCTTGCTTTAAGTGACCCTTCTTTAGCTTCGGCGGCTGTCGCGCGGCAGGGTTGCATGGCATGTCCGCGATGAGACAAATCACCCGCCGGCTGTTGACTAGTTAGTATTATGTCGTGTCACGCCTGTCGTCTGCCACCATGACAATGCAGCTGAGAATGGCTGCTGTCTATGTCAAGTCACATCCTATGCACCTGCTTGGAGCCTGGGCTTCACTGTGCTCCACTGTCAGTTTGACCAAAAACTGCATATTATATACCAAACGTACGTTGACAATTATCACACCCTCCTCGTCGACGACCTAATCACCACCGTGCTCTAGAAGGTGTACTATTACTATTCCAACCAGGCGCATCTCTTTGCCCTGCGCAAGGTTATGTATAATGCAAGGCCAGCAGCAAAAGGCACAATTTAAAACAGTAGTAGTAGTAGTAGTAGTAGTCGTAGTAGTAGTAGTAGTGTGTGGTAGTGGTAGTGGTAGTGGTAGTGGTTGTGGTAGTGGTAGTGGTAGAAGTAGTAGTAGTACTAGTAGTAGTAGTCGTCGTGGTGGTGGTAGTGGTCGTGGTAGTGGTAGTCTTAGTGGTAGTGGTCGCAGTAGTAGACTGTAGCGGTAGCATCCTGTAGTGGTACTAGACTGTCGCGGTAGACAGTAGTAGTAGCCGTGGTGGAAGTAGTGGTAGACAGTAGTAGTAGTAGTAGTAGTAGTAGGAGTAGGAGTAGTAGTAGTACTAGTACTAGTAGTAGTAGTCGTAGTAGTAGTAGTAGTGGTGGTAGTGGTAGTGGTAGTGGCAGTGGTGGTGGTGGTAGTGGTAGTGGTAGTGGTGGTAGTAGTAGTAGTGGTGGTAGCAGTAGACTGTCGTAGTAGTGGACTGTAGTACTAGTCGACTGTAGTGCTAGTAGACTGTAGCATTAGTAGAGTATAGTAATAGTAGTAGTAGCAGCAGTAGACTGTCGTAGTAGTGGCCTACTACCGTCTACTACAACAATTCACTACTGCGACTACTACGACGACTACTACTACAGCACAGTCTACTACTAGTAATACTACAGTCTACTAGTACTACAGTCGACTCGTACCACAGTCCACTATTACGACAATCTACTGCTACTACTACTACTACAGTCTACCATTACTACAGTCTACTGTCTACTACTACTGACTACGGCCACTACAGTCTACAACTACTTCAGTCTAATAGTACCACTACAGTCTACTACTACTACTACCACTACTACCACTACTACTACTACTACTACTACTACTACTACTACTATACAGTCTACTACTAGTAATACTACAGTCTACTATTACTACAGTCGACTCGTACCGTCACAGTCCACTATTACGACAGTCTACTGCTACTACTACTACCACTACTACTACAGAACAGTCTACCATTACTACAGGTTACTACTACTGACTACGACCACTACAGTCTAAGAAAACTTCAGTCTAATACTACCACTACAGTCTACTAATACTACAGGCTACTAGCATCACAGTCGACTAATACTACAGTCCACTACTACGACAGTCTACTGCTACTACAATCAACTTAGCTTGACCCAATACGTTAAACATCACCCCCGACGTTTAACGCATTGGAAATAGCTTGGTTAAACATGACCTGTGACGTTTAAGCATTTTAAATCATTTTAGCTTGACCCAATACGTTAAACATCACCCGCGACGTTTAAGACATCGGTCCTTCGGACGGCCCTTACACAAAGCCAGACCGGTCCGGCTCCGCAGCGTTAATGAAAAAACGCTCCGCGTAAGGACAGTATGGGGTCCATACTGTCCTTACACAAACTGAGACCGGGCTCCGTCCGCGTAAGGACAGTATGATACGCTGTTCCGTGGCGCGGAAGGGGGGTCAGGCCAGCGTTACGTGAATAACCGGACCCCCCTTACACAAAGCCAGACCGGTCTTGGTCCGCGTTAGGACAGTATGGGGTCCATACTGTCCTTACACAAAAAACGCTGCGTGAATAGAATCGTGGACTGCCGCCAGCCCAGTCGCGTGGACTGCCGCCAGCCCAGTCGCGTGGAGCAGCGCTACGACTACTACTGCTGCCACTAGACTTTACTACTACTACTACTACTACTACTACTACTACTACTACTACTTGGATGACCGTGGTGGTTGCTAAGTGGTTATAATACTTGCTAAGTACTTATGGAACTAAGTAACTATTTAACTATGTTATTGTAAGTTCGATATAGCAACTTATTGGATTTACATAAACTAACTTATACCAATTACTAAGTTGCACTTATGAAGGTTACTAAGTGTACTTAGCAGGGTTAAGGCAAGTGCGGTAAGTCTGTTAAGTAGGTTGCTGCGACACATCATAAACGGTTCGATTTTATTTTCCACGCTGATACGCGCCAACAAAAAACAAAAATATATAATTGATTTTTCAATTTGCAGACCATCAACTTTTCCAAAAACAGGAAACGTCCTTTAGTGTTTTTGCTAGTTGGTGTACATGTTTTAAAAAATCTGCGCAGCCCCTCCCCGCTGCACAGGGTGGCGCCCTCCTCTCCAGACAAAACAGCGCCTCCCTTTTGTTTGAATCTTTGCAAATTTGCAACGCGTTATTCAACCACTGCTATAACGAAACAGAAGAAAAGACGATAACGGACAACGTAGAAAAACGTAAGCACAAGAACCACACCCTCAACAAAAACAAACAAACATCACAATGTATTGTATACCACGTTATCAGAATTAGAGAAATATCTGCACAGCCCCTCCCCGCTGCACAGGGTGGCAACCTCCTCTCCATACAAAAAATGATGCCTCCCTTTTGGTATATGTATGACTGGCATTTATTTTTCTATTTTTTTTGTAAAAAAAACTGCACAGCCCCTCCCCGCTGCACAGGGTGGCGCCCTCCTCTCCGTACAAAAATGGCGCCTCCCTTTTGGTATATGTATACACGACGTGACTTGTAATTTGATTTAATATTTTTATTTTGCAAACAAATCTGCACAGCCCCTCCCCGCTGCACAGGGTGGCACCCTCCTCTCCGTACAAAAATGGTGCCTCCCGTTTGGTGTGTATGCAACTGTATGAGCGTGCTTGACTTCCTATTTTTAATCGGTTTATAAACAGCAAACGAACTATCTGCGCAGCCAAAAAATCTATCTGTGCAGCCCCTCCCCGCTGCACAGGGTGGCGCCCTCCTCTCCGTACAAAAATGGTGCCTCCCGTTTGGTGTGCATGAGTTGTGGTTGGCTTTCATATTTTTGGATTTGTTTAAAAACAACAAACATCTATCTGTGCAGCCCCTCCCCGCTGCACAGGGTGGCACCCTCCT